TCTGGAGACTCAAGGAGGCTGGGGGGTGGGGGCAGGTGAGGCTGGGGGGTGGGGGCAGGTGAGGCTGGGAGGTGGGGGCAGGTCAGGCTTGGTGGCAAACACCTTTGCCTGCTGAACCATCTTGCTGGTCCTATCTTGACGCCTCTCACAGAAGAGAGCCTCGGCCAGTTCTCTGCTATTATGCCAAGGTTAATGTCTAGGGTAGGAATTAACTGTCTGGAGGTGGGGCAGTCCCCTTTAGACTTCGAGGGGACAAAACTACTTGTTAATGACAGTGGAGCAATATGAAGTTCTTAAAAAACTAGCACTAGTGAATCTCGGGCCAGCTCTGGGCTGCCGCCTCTTAAATACCTTGTTATGTGTATAATTAAGTCTTTTAAGATGGATTCTGTATTCTGTTGTTGGCAACTTACAGCATTCCTAAATGCACAGCAATACCTACTCCTTGTGGATGTGAGATGTAGAATACAGCTGAGGCCCAAGGCAAGAAACATAAATCAGGAAGCCAAAGGCAAATGTGGAAATCTCTTGGACTAGCTGAGTTTATCCACCAAACCCGGTGGGCAGGAGAGACAGTAGGGGGACTGAGTCCTTTGTCCAAAATAGATGGGTGCAGCAAGTCAAAAGATAAAGGATGATCAGAAGGGGCCAGAGAGGAACAGCAGAATGTGCTGTGCCTGGGTCTGAGCACGCAGCCTGTGATTGGGACTCATGGGTTATATGTGTACAGGCTTTTCTGCAACTTGAATTTTCTATTTAACAGTATGTGGTGGATATCTTCCTGTGCCGTACACATATCAGGTCACATGATCCTTCTTAGTGAAAAATTCTAGTCTGTTGTATGGGGCAGTCTGTAATTTATGTGTTATACATTGAAACCTGCTTCTGGGCTTGATGCAGTGGCGCACATCTTTAATCCCAGGAGGGAGAGACTGGTGGATCACTGAGTGTGAGCCCAGCCTGGTCTACAGAGTGAGTTCCAGGAGAGTCAGGGCTGCCCAGAGAAACCTTGTCTTAAAAAAAAAAAAGGAATAGACAGAAAGAAAATAAGAAAAAAGAAAGAAAAGTGCTTCTGGAGGGAATGGATGATGGTCAACTGGCTGCTTTTGCAAACGATCTGCATTTGGTTCTCAGCATCCACCCTGCATCTGGCTCTCAGCATCCGTGTAGTTGCTCACCGGGGGATCTGATGCCCTCTTCTGGCCACTGTGGGCACCAGGCACACATGTAGTATGCAGACAACCTACATGTAGTCAAAACATCTACACACATAAGTACACAAGCTTTAAAAAGAAAGAAAAATACTTCCAGTAAGAACGAGAATGCCTGTCATAGGCTCAGATATTGAAATATCTGATGCCCAGTTGGCCAGACTGTTTGGGAAGGATTAGGAGGTGTGACCTTGTTGGGAGAGGTGTGTCACTGGGCTTGGAGGTGTCTAAAGACCCCCATCGTTCCCAGCTAGTGCACCTCTGCCTCATGGTTGTTGTCTCAAGATGGAAGCTACTGCCCCAGGGCCTGCCTGCCTGCCTGCCTGCCTGCTGCCATACTTACCATCATTATGGTCATGAACTCTGACCCTCTGGAACTGTGAGCCCCAAATTAGACACTTTCTTTTATAAGTTGCCTTGGGCACGGTGTCTTATGACAGCAAGAGAAAAGTAACCAAGACCCTACTTAGTGTTCTTTTGGTAATTATCTATTTAGAAAAAAATAAATGGACAAGGACTGAAAGCTGTAATAAAGTACCCTGAAACGATGGAGTGCCCTAGAGAAATTGACTTTGCATAATCTTGGCAAAGAAGAATGTTTTAGGCTTGGCGACGAAGGCAAGAGCCAGATAGGCAGAGACCTATTAAGCACAAGTTGTAGTTCAATAGAAGAACTTAGCATGAACAAAGTCCTGTGTTCAAACCCCACTAATGGAAGGAAAGAAAAAAGAAAGGAGAGAGAGAGAGAGAGAGAGAGAGAGAGAGAGAGAGACAGAGAGAGACAGAGAGAGAGAGAGACAGAGAGAGAAGACTGACTGCTTTGAGGGCACAGGGTAAGAAAGAGGGTGGATTGAAAAATAAAGGTGGCTGGAGAGATGGCTCAGCAGCCACGAGAATATACTGCTCTTGCAGAACTGGAATTCAGTTTCCAACAGGCTAGTCACATCTCCAGCTTCAGGGGATGTTGCCCTCTTCTGGCCTCTGCGTGCACATGCATGCATGTGCACACACACAATTTATAAAATAAAGTAGATCTTAAAAAAGAAACACTAGCAGGTTAAGATGAAACGGGAGCCTGGAACAAAGCTCACAGCACATCATGACATGGAAAGGGTGACTACTACCTGAGTTTAGACCCTGATAAGAACAAGGCAGAAAGCCCAGAAGAAGAGCGAGTGAGGAATCAATATACTCCAGACTGTCTTTGGGAGAACCATTGCACAAATCAGAACCTGCTCCCTGCAGGTGTGTGTTCAGTTAGCTCTGTTGTCACTTTTCATGTGGAGAGTTGCCTGTGGGGGCCAGAGAGATGGCTCAGTGGGTAAGGGCACTTGCTGCTCTTGGAGAAGATCTGAGTTTAGATCCAGCACCCAACAGATGGCTCAAAACCATCTGTTACTCCGGTTCTGGGGGAACTGGCGCCCTCTTCTGGTCTTGCTGTGTATACCCACAAGAAACATGCATGTACCTATAAATAATAATAAGTTTTAAAGAGTTGCTTGTGTTACGTTTAAAGATTAGGTAATGATGACAGTTTAGGGCTCACTGTGGCTATGGATTAGCTACTGGACAAGGGGAAATCAGCCGTGAAAGGGCATTATTCTGACAACTGAAGCAGCTTGCACACTGACCACAGACTGTGTCACAGTGGAAATTCTGGGGTGTCACTAGGGAGAAAATCTTAAAGTGTAGTTATTTATTAAGGGTGAAAAGTTGGTCATTTGCATTTCAGTGTCACAGAATGGGCTTTTAAAAAGATTAATTTTTTTATGTATTTGAGTGTCTGCATGTGTGTCTGTGCACATGTATGCAGTGCCCACAGAGGCCAGAAGAGGGCATCAGATTCCCCCTTGAACAAGAGTTTCATATGGTTGTGAGCTGCTGCGTGGGTGCTGAGAACTGAACTAAGGTCCTCTGGAAGAGCAGCCAGTGCTCTTAACAGCTGAGCCCTCTCCCGTCCCTCTTTTTTCTCTGTTGTTCATCATCATGGGGGGAGAGAGAGAGAGACAGAGAGA